TTAAAACTGAACACAATCTTGCTACTCAAGCTGTTTATGAACATTTATTTATTTATTTGCTTCTTTTCCATTTTGCATTGACTTGTACTTTTACTTTCAATACTTAAATACGTTTTAAATTTAAAAAATACTTTTCGTACTTAAGTACAATAAATAACATGTACTTTAAGACTTTTACTCAAGTAATATTCTAAAAGGTGACTTCAACTTCTACCAAAGTCATTTTCTAGTAAGATATCTACATTTACTTGAGTATCACTTTCAGGTAATTTATACACCACTGTTTCCGTTACAGCCAGTGGTTTCACATCTGGTTTTACAACTGATTTTTTGCTTTATTATATTTTATATAAATAATGTTGTTTTTTTTTGTCAAAGTCATTCATTTGTGTCGGTGTACTGGCAATAAAATGAGTAAAATATATTGATACATTAAAAGGGTCATATGATGCGATTTCAATTTTTCCTTTCTCTTTGGAGTGTTACAAGCTCTTGGTGCATAAAGAAGATCTGTAAAGTTGCAAAGACTAAAGTCTCAAATCCAAAGAGATATTCTTTATAAAAGTTAAGTCAACCACGCCTACCTAAAACGTCTCATTCTAGGACGCCTCCACATCTACGTCACGATGTGGGAAGATTTGCATAACAACGCCCAAATGTTCACGCAAAGAAAGAAAGCGTAACTTTTATTACATAGCATCTCGAGGCCACGACACTCCGGATCTGTTTTCAAACCGGCAAATCCACGTTACAGTCATATCCGTTTCAGTGCTGTAACCATAGACTGCATAAAAACATGGACGTAGTGTCCGTTACGTCACCCATAGTTTTCTGAAGAGCGTTTTTGAAGCTCAAAGTGGGCGGAGCGGGCTGTCGCCATCTTGGCAGTGTGCTTCACTCCTGGATAATCGAAAATGGGCAAAAAGCCGGGAGCTGGTTGCTGAAGCCACGCCCACCTAGCTCGATGGCAGTGTCAGCAGCAGCAATCCACCTGTCACTGAAGTGGCCACGCCCTTAATTATGCAGAACTTTAAGGCTTAATATAATTTAAACGGATGAGTTATAAAAAAATTCACCCCCCTCACGGCTACTTAATATTGTATTGTCTTGATGTCTGAGGAAGTTATCTGAGGAAAAAAGCCCTTTCTGAATTGTGAAAAACGCAACCCATTACTTTAAATTGTAGACATACCATGTAAACATGATTCAAATAAAATAAAGCTAGCTAAAAAAAAATTAAATCTTATTAAACTGAACACCAAGCTTTTGTCAAAAATAAAGCCTTATCTTCGACACACAAATATAACGTGTACTTTATCTTTGATTACAAACAAACAAAGAAACAAAAATTAATAAACAAAGCCAACCACCTAATAAATAATATGTGTCAGTACTGGGTCAATAGTATGTAACAAGCATTACTTTTATTTGTATCAATACTACAGCGAGAATAAAAGTTACGCCTTCTTTCTTTGCGTGAACATTTGGGCGGCGTTATAAAAATCTTTCCACATAGTGAAGTAGACATGTGGGGGCCTGTTAGAATGAGCCGTTTTAGTTAGGCGTGGTTGACTCTTAACTTTTATAAAGAATATCTCTTTGGATTTGAAACTTTAGTCTTTGCAACTTTACAGATCTTCTTTATGCGCCAAGAGCTTGTAACACTCCAAAAAGAGAGGAAAAATTGAAATCGCATCATATGACCCCTTTAACATGGGGAGTTTATAGGATTGACTCCCTTTTGCAGCCAGCCTCTAGTGGCCAGTTGACAAATGACAGTTTAAGTCACTTCCGTGTTGGCTTCTCGAGAGAGAGCGGGAGGTTGCTGCTTGGCTGTAACACGGATCCAGCCCGGGCGCGGTTTCAGTGAGAAGAGTATAACTGCAGCCTGGAGATCTCCAAATGGGGGCGGGAACTCCAAAACGGGATGGGAGCTCCAAAATAGGGCGTGGCTTCCTCCCATTGACAGACAAGCACATGACACGCATGCACACTTTTCCCCCCAGTCCACTTCAGTGCAAACTCCGCCCCACAGCTGATTCTGAAGATTTTATTGGTTGTGTCAATTAAAGTGTTGAGTTCCTACATTATGCTACAAAGAATGCTAACCCCTAAACCTACCCCACACCTGACCCTAACCTTAACCAGTGAAATTTGCTGCACGGCGGGATTGGCGCTGAATTGCGTGGTAAAGAAAGATGCAATTAAGGAGATAAACAGTTAATAAGATTATGCGATATGAGATCTTTCCGTAACTCCCCAACCAGACCTCAATGGCACCTTTTTAGTTACACCCAGCATCACTACCCACTCCTACCCTGTGAATTTCGAGCCCCGGGACGCCCCCGCTGCTTAGAACAAAGCGATAGATTAAAATCTTTCCCCTGCGCTGGGACGGCTCGCGGGAGAGCTAACAAAGTCTTTGCGCGAGGAGACCCCGCCCCATTTTGGAGGTTCTTCCCACTTTTGGAGTTCACGCCCCATTTTGGAAATAATAACCAACTGCAGAACCGCAGAACCATTACGTCACAACAGTCTGAGGCCACAGTGCCAGGCCAGCAGTCTGACGCCGGAAGTGGACGGAGTAACAGTCTCATGTCGGAAGTAGGCGGAGTTTACGACAGAAACAATAATGGCGGATAAGAACACGGTTAAAAGGTATTTAAGTGATCAAATTTATTTATTTTATGCCTTTAATCGTTTGTTGTTTAAGCAATTTATACAGAACATGTCTCCAGTCTATTTTTTGTGAATGTGCTGTGTGATGAAGTGTGTTATCCCGTCTGTTTTTAGAACTTCATCGTCTCACTTTATGGATTGTTAACTTGACACTGTATTTTATTTCAATGGTTACGTTTTCTGATGCTGACCAATGTTTTATGCAGATTTTTTTAAATCTGTTTTTAAAAGGACCAGATGGCACAGGTTGAATGCACACCTTCCAATTTACTTCAGAAAGGCAGATGTCCATAGAGGTATGAACTTTGTGAGTTATTTGATAATATACAGTGGCAATAAATGGTATTTAATAGCAGTCTTTTTGTAAATTGTAGTTTGCCTGCCCAATTTGGTAAAACACACAACCTAACAGCGATAGGCTATGTATTAACAAATATGGATATTATGTTTGCAGTTCAAGGTTTGCTGTTCATTGATGTTCATTTGCGTAATATTCTGAATGTTTCTTTTAATATTATGAATTAAAAAAGTTGTTTTTGCATTGTCAGTGGTAACTTTTGCTTTCGAACAATTAAACTTTTTTTATGGTTATAAATAATTTTTTTTTTTTAAATCTGTTTGATTTTGTTGCAGTAAATTGACAAGCAGAATCATACCAATTTCCAATGGAAGCTGATTGAAAACAAGGTTAGTTTTGTAAGACTTTCATATTCTACTTATACAGATGGTGTGATGTTATAGCTGTCATGTATTTTCCAGAAATAACTTAATAATATTCTTTTGTTTTAGAATGTCCACAACAGCTGGCCAGTTCTATTGATTGTGGGATCTTCATGTTGTTGGTAAAAAAAGAAAGGGAAAGTAAAAAAAAAAAATGAATTGAATTGATTGAAATATATCAACTTATCTTTTCATTAGAATTAAAAACATGAGGGCTTTTCACACATGAAATGGTTAACACTGGGTGAATGTAAACCCCAGGTAAACTGAATTCTGGTTTAACTTGCTTCATGTTTCAGACAGAATATAATTTGCCTGGGATTGACAAATAATCCTGGGTTTTCATACGCTGTTGTTTTACACTGTACATTACTAAACCCCAGGTAAACATCCTTATATGCACATTTTCTGCATCAGTGTCACTGATTGGACAGACACTGCATGCGATATGATACAAAAATGCCCCAGCACTGCACATTCTCATATTACATACAGCTGACTTTACTATCAAGTTTATCCTGAATATACTTTTTAGGTTATAAAGATAAGAAATATACAGTCTCTTCTTGACCCTGACTGTTGTGTTTTCTGTCAGCATTTGACATTTTTGACATCCTGTCAAATGCTGAATTTAATTTACTGTTTTTATACAGTGCTTATTTTTGCAGTGACTGTCCAAAGCACTTGAATATGAGGCAGGCAATTGGTTGTCTGTTGTCCGCTGGACTGAGGACCCTCTCCAGGGGGGCGGGGCCGGCCAGCTTGAGCGCCTCGTATGGTCACGTTCCTCCGCTCTCTCCAGGCCAATTGCTTGATCCGCTTCCTGCCACTAGGGCGGGGGGGGGAAGTCTGGGCCGGCCTGTTGGCGTTGCGGGGACCCAGGGCACTTTATTGATCGGTGTCCGGTGATGGAGGTGGGGACACTGATCCTGGTCCCGGATGCCCCGCAGGCTGCCCCTGATCAAGCTGGCATGTACCAAATACTTGTGAGTATTGAGGGGGGTACTTATTGGGCTGTGGTGGATTCAGGATGTAACCAAACCTCGATCCATCAAATCGAGGCATTTAACTGACTCAAATGTCAGTTAGTGAATCTCCCGGCCTCCCCAAAAGCGCCGTTACGCCCTCTTCCTCTCATGCAGGTCCCCTTCGAGAGAATTGGTATGATCCTCATCGGGCCATTAGAACGGTCAGCACGGGGACATCGCTTTGCATTAGTCCTCGTGGATTATGCAATGCGATACCCTGAGGCAGTGGCGCTCTGCAAAAAGTGTGGCGGAGGCTCTGTTTCATATAATCTCCTGAGTGGGGATCCCGAAAGAGATTCTCACTGACCAGGGCACGGCGTTTATGTCACGTACAATACGCGAACTGTACGAATTATTGGGTATTAAATCAGTCCGCACCAACGTCTATCACCCACAAACAGACGGACTGGTGGAACGATTTAGTCACACTTAGGAAAACCATGATTCGAAAGTTCATTCACGAAGACGCCAAAAATTGGGATAAATGGCTGGAACCCCTTTTGTTCACTGTGTGCGAGGTCTCGCAAGCCTCCACAGAGTTTTCCCCCTTTTAGCTCCTTTACGGTCGCCAGCCCCGTGGGGTTTTGGACATCCTGAGAGAGGCTTGGGAGGAGGGAACTTCGGATAGCAAAAACGAAATTCAGCATGTGCTGGACCTGAGAACAAAACTCCACACTTTGGGGCAGCTCTCTATGGAGAATTTGTTACAGGTCCAGGACAAGCAGAGCCGGCTGTATAATCGGGGAACCAGATTATGTGATTTTGCATGGGGAGATAAAGTGCTTGTATTGCTCCCAACTTCTAGCTCTAAATTACTCGCCAAGTGGCAAGGACCCTTTGAGGTCACACGGCGGGTGGGAGATCTCAATTATGAGGTAATTCGGTCGGACAGGAGTGGGGCACGTCAAATCTACCATCTTAATCTCCTTAAAAAATGGAGCGAGGTAGATGCTGGCGACGGCAGTGAGTGGAGAGGAAGATCTCGGGCCAGAGGTGTCCAGTAAGATCCAATCCCTCGCTCTGGCCCCAGGGGGGGATCACCTCTCGCCCTCCCAGCTCACTGATGTAGCGAGATTGCAAGCCGAGTTTGCCGACGTGTTCTCACCCCTGCCCGGTCGAACGAATCTCATCCAGCACCATATTGAGACGGAGCCAGGCGTGGTTGTACGCAGCCGGCCGTATCGGTTGCCTGAACACAAAAAGAAATTGGTTCAGTCTGAATTAGAGGCGATGTTAGAGATGGGAGTAGTAGAAGAATCCCACAGAGATTGGGCGAGCCCGATAGTTTTAGTACCTAAAACGGACAGCTCCGTTCGATTCTGTGTGGATTATCGCAAGGTGAATGCAGTGTCGAAATTCGATGCCTATCCAATGCCGCGGGTTGACGAATTGCTTGATCGGCTGGGTACAGCTCGTTTTTATTCGACACTGGACTTAACCAAAGGGTATTGGCAGATCCCCTTATCACCCTTATCCAAAGAAAAGACAGCCTTCACGACGCCGTTTGGATTATACCAATTTGTTACCCTTCCTTTCGGGTTTTTCGGGGCACCGGACACTTTTCAGTGGCTCATGGACAGAATCCTCTGGCCGCATGCCGCCTATGCCGCTGCCTATCTAGATGACATCATCATTTACAGTCAGGATTGGCAGCGTCATATGGCGCATCTGCGAGCTGTCCTACGAGCGCTGAGAGGGGCCGCGCTGACGGCCAACCCGAAGAAGTGTGCGGTTGGGCGGGTGGAGGTAAGGTATCTGGGCTTCCACTTGGTATTTATGTGCACAGTGCTTAAATTTATTAGACCACCTGTCATGAGTTAATAAATAAAGAGAAAACACAACAACAAATATTTTAAGAATCTGACAAAAAAAATTATAATTGTCATTTATTAGGCAAATAACAAACTGGAGTGAGGAATGTCAAGTCAAGTCAAGTCAAGTCACCTTTATTTATATAGCGCTTTTAACAATACAGGAGTCAGGATTGGCAGCGTCATATGGCACATCTGCGAGCTGTCCTACGAGCGCTGAGAGGGGCCGTGCTGACGGCCAACCCGAAGAAGTGTGCGATTGGGCGTGTGGAGTTCAGGTATCTGGGCTTCCACTTGGGTCATGGACAGGTGCGTCCCCAAATTAGTAAGACGGCGGCAATTGCGACTTGTCCGAGGCCCAAGACCAAAAAGGAGGTGAGGCAGTTCCTGGGGCTGGCAGGATATTATAGAAGGTTTATACCTAATTATTCGGATCTTACCAGCCCGCTAACTGACCTCACTAAAAAGGAAGTTTCAGATCCGGTCCAGTGGACGGAGCTGTGTCAGCGGGCTTTCACCCAGGTAAAGGCTGCTCTGTGTGGCGGGCCGCTGTTACACTCTCCTGACTTTTCTCTCCCCTTATTGTTGCAGACAGACAACTGGCCAAAGAGCCTTTAGCCTTTCGCTTCCAAATTAAGGATGATAGACTTTTTTTCTCAAGGAGTATTTGTTTTGTATATTATGCTACTTAAATGGAAAAGTAAATTTTATTAAAGTTTAATATATTTTGTGTTTTGATTTTTGTGTTTGATGGATCTGAATTTGCTTGCTTGAATCCTGTGTAGAATTGTGTAAATGTGTATGAAAAAATTGTTCATTCTGAAATGGTTGAGTAAAAACATACATTTTATTTCAAATAAAGTGTTCAAATGCTTAAGCTTTGTTTTTAGTTTAAGTATTTTATTCTTTGTGTTCAGTATTAAGTTAAGACATAACAAAACAAGATGATAAACTTTTAACTTTAAAAATACTTAAAGGGATACAAGGGGTGTGTATGAGGAATGTTAAATTAAATTAGCATTTTTATTGAGCCAGCACATTTAACCTCTGAAGTCAGAAATTGATCAACTGTAACATTCAATCATTAAAATATAATTTTATGTAACGACTGCAAGTAAATAACTGTAATTGTGCATCTAAATAAAAATAATAATTTGCTTTATTTTTTCTGACTTGTAAAACAGTAAATTCATAAATTTATAGATAATAATTATATTTTAGCATTAGAGTTACTACTGTGACTGAAGAGCTTACACACAGTCTACTGGTGGATTAAGTATTACAGAAACACAAAACATAATTTTGGTAATCACCAGTACTAATTTCAAATAGATCGTTTTATTTAAAATACTTGGCAATATCATGGTTTTAGTCTTTGAAAAGCTCCCAATGGAGCAATGCGTATTAGGATAAAATAGCTCAGCCCACTTCCGGCCTCAGACTGTTGGCCTAGCGCTGCTGTCCTCAGACTGCTGTGACGTCATAGGGTTCTGCGGTTCTGCGGTTCTGCAGTTCTGCAGTTAGACCCTTCTCCATTTTGGAGATCTCCGGTCTGCAGTTACAGTATATCTACTTGGAGAGTGGGCGGGAACTACAGTCGCAGAGCGGATCCGGCCGCGTCCGTGGAAAGGAGCGCGCGTTTTTTTCTGGAGTTCAGAACAGAAGACGTCACGATCGAGGCAGAAACAGACTGTACGCTGTTATCCTCAAAAACCTCACCAAGGTATGTCACACCGTGTGATCAAACTGTTCTACTATAAACTAATTTCTTGTTATGTTGTGTACTCGATAAATTAAAGGTTTGGTATTTTTATTGCTCCTTAGATTGGTGTTGGACTGTAATGTTGGCGAACACTTAGGCCTATGTTATCAGAGGACTTGCTAACATGAAGAAAACGGTCCAGAGTTCTGTAATTATAACGAGGCTGAATTCAGCTTCTTATTCGCAGCTTCTTATTGACGCTATCCGTTCCACCTTAAAAACGCGACGCTTACGCGTTTCTTAAAGGGGTCATATGATGTTGCTAAAAAGAACATTATTTTGTGTATTTAGTGTAATGACATGTGTTTATGCGGTTTAAGGTTAAAAAAACAGCAACATTATATTCCACATACTGTACATTATGTCTGTAAGAAATTGAGTAACGCAATTTCAATTCTCTGTGTGTATGTGCTGTACATGTGGAAGAATTGACAATAAAGCAGACTTGACTTGACTTGATGACACGACTGTAGTGGGTCTCATTAGCAACAGAGATGAGACAAACTACAGGAGCGAGGTGAGCCGCCTGGCCGGGTT